AAAATTAAAGTGGTGCCATTTGACTTACTCTAACATCTTCTAGGCTCAGGCCATGGTTTAGAGACTGGTAATTTGTAACTTCCTATACAACCAAAGAAATGCTCTAGTTCGTTGCACTTTATCTCAGAAATGGCATGACATAAAAACCCAACCCTTATTTGGGTCACATGTGAAAGAGACAATCACAAAGGAGGGGCCACTCCTGAGGTCAGCCTTGCATCAAAGAGCTAAGCACCCGACACTCAACCCAATCAGTAGTCAACAGCCAGGCAGAAAAATGCATGTCACAACAAGGGCAGAAATCACTTCTAGAAGGAAGTATTACTGGGATTCCCTTTCAGGATCACTTTCCACAGTATATAAATATGGATGGGTGTGCCCAACGTGCTTTGGAAGTAAAAAGAAGCCCAAAGGGAAAAAACAGTATTTTTTGATGCTTTAAGGATTTCTCATGATACTGACATCTTGGAATTCCCTACCAGGCCCCTAAGTGATACCAGAGAAAGGGTTCCAAAAATATCTCTAGGAGATTTCCCTAGGCACCTTAGCTTTGTAAAAGAAACAGAAAGTGAGAAAGCTTTTAGGGCTTAAAAAAAAAAAAAAAAATCCACATATGCCAAAAAAAAAAAAAAAAAAGGAAAAGGCAGCTTCTGAGGATCAAGTTTTAAGGGAACAAATGTGGTTTTTGGCAACTTGCAATCAAATACGATTGTCAGAAAATTCCAAAATCAGACACCAATATGTTTTCTGAGACACGGAGGGAGCACGCTAAAGACCAGTGGACACTAGGTGGACAGGCGTCTCTGTGTAAACGCGGCCTCACGGTGATCCTGGCACACACACGTGGAACAGAATTCCTGGTTGGGTAACTTTCCTCAGTCCCAAGGGCAGACGGCATGACCTCAAAGAGAAGTCTGCACCGGTCCTGTGTGGTTTTAAAAGGAAGAGAGGAGGAGTTCTCTACAGGCTCCTTTCACCCTGCCAGCTCCTGGAGCTCGTGGGTCGGGAGGCCCCACATGCGCACCTTACACATGCTCTTTCTCTAACTCCAAGAAGGCCACATAAAGATTTACGGGGGCTCTTCAGTCGCTTTAGGTAAGTTCTGACATTAGTCTGTTCCCTAAATTCTTGGTCTAGTTACCAGCAAAGGAGAAAAAGGCAGCACAGCCTCTGCTAAAACACAGCAACAAATTTACCTGAACCAGGACGGAGACCGCTCCCTCTCTGTAAACAGAGCCGGCTATAGAATATATATTTATATATTTATAGATAATTTTTTTCTTAATGGAGATTTGATCCCAGCCTGGAGTGAGTGAGGTTGGGAATTGGGGTTTTGGTTTATGGGAGTAATTCTGTCCTTTGTTTTCCCAATTCTCAGTCCAAATGCTTGCACGCTGGAAAATTAAAAGCCACAGAAAGGGAAAGGGGTTTAGAACACATTATCTCTTTGCTCGCACAAAGTACAAGGCGTTTGTTTTTGGATAGTACTTCACATTCTGTTTCTTGTCCATGAGTCCTCCAAATATGATGAGTTCACCCCTGCCTTGGACCACTGTATGCAGGCTGGTTTCAGGAGGTCCGACTACAGAACTGCTGTTAAATACTTTCCATTTGACCCGCCCCTTCTCCTTGGTGTCCTTAATGTCTAGCACGTACATCTGCATGGGCTTGCAGTTCATACTCTGGTACAAAGGTTTGCCAACATTTAGGGACTGAGGAGGGTGGTGGCCCAGGCGGCGGGCAATGGGAGGTAAGGAATGTCCATCTCCTTGGGCAGGCCCTGGGCGGGGAATGGGCACTGTTTCTCCACTGCTCAGGTTCTGGCTCCCGGGAGAGCCTGGAGAAGACCCCAGAGGAGGACTTAGTGCTGCGGAGGCTGAGGGGCCTTTGGATGACATTGCTTTGATGGCTTCTAGGCTCCGACGCAGGGCACCTGGGGAGACAGCTCCTGCAAGGGCACTGGCCACGTGTGGCGGGGTGTGCACACCATTTGTCTGTTCAGGAGGGTGTCTCATGCTTCCCCCAACTGTCCTGTTGTCCATACCATCCATATGATTGCTACTCGATGCGGGTTTCAGATCCCAATTCAGATCTATTGATCCTAACCTCAGATCTTTCTGATCCGGTAGTGACCCTCGTCGGGGGGCCAAAGAAAGTCCCATTTTGAGGTCATATCCTTCAGTGGTAGATGGAGTGCTAGGAGATACAGCCTGCACAGGGCTGTCCAAGGAAGAGCCACCTAGAGCTGCTGTTCCTGGAGACAAATTCCCACCGTTGAGGATGGGAGAGCCATCTCCTCTGGCTGGGGAAAGGCTCCCTTCCCGGGAACTTGAGGGGGTCTGCCTTTGAGCTCTGGGCCTCAGTGTTCCCCAGCGGCCGTTAACACAAGGGGCTTCATCCATACTCCTTACTGGAGACTGAGAGCGGTACTCTCGGGTTTCAGGAACCAGGGCCGGAGGAGTGGCACTGATAGGTGATGGGCGGGAGTTCAAACTGGGGCTGAGTGGGGCTCTCCCACTGGGAGCCTGGCTGAAGACCACCACACACTGCCCCACCTGGAAGACAAAAGACCTATGTTCAGTTCTGATCATTCATTTAATATCAAACATTTTATTATGAGCACCAGGGCAGGCCAGGCATTCTGTAGGTACTGGAGATACAGAGATGAAAATAATGTAGTCTGCCTTCTAGGCTAGAAGGGGAGACAGACATAGGAACAATATATGGCTAAAGCACGACAAGTGCTATCATTAGAAGTATGTCGGCAGGATAGGGGTGGGGTGGAGGGAGGAATCAGTTTTTGTTTGGGGACCCTGAGGAAAGGTTCACAAAGAGATGCTTAAGGCTGGCACCGAAAGATCCATAGTGGGGGCTCCTTGCTGACTCAGTCAGTGAAGCGTGCAACTCTTGATCTTGGTGTCAGGAGTTTGAGCCCCACCGCTCGGCATAGAGATTACATAAATAAATAAATAAACTTGGGTCTCCTGGGTGGCTCAGTCGGTTAAGCCTCTGACTTTGGCTCAGGTCATGATCCTGGGGTCCTGGGATCGAGCCCTGAAGTGGGCTCTCTGCTCAGGAGGGAGCCTGCTTCTTCCTCTCCCTCTGCCCTACCCAACCCCGCCTCCCGCCCCTGCATGCTCTCTCAAATAAATAAATATACTTAAAAGAAAAAAAAAGGGATCGGAGCGCCTGGGTGGCTCAGTCGTTAAGCGTCTGCCTTCGGCTCAGGTCATGGTCCCGGGGTCCTGGGATCGAGCCCCACATCGGGCTCTCTGCTCCGCGGGAAGCCTGCTTCTCCCTCTCCCACTCCCCCTGCTTGTGTTCCCTCTCTGCCTGTCTCTGTCAAATAAATAAAATCTTTAAAAAAAAAAAAAAGGGGATCAATGGGGCTCACATAGGTTTCCCATCTAGAGGTTCACATATGAGCAATGCCCAAGGAGCAATGGTTAATGTCCACTTCTTTTATGATATCAAGGTGTTTTTTATTTCCATACAAATTTGCTTGGAAATCTGACAAGCCAATTTGGCTTTACAGTCAGTGCCCTGCTTACCCGACAAGCTGGGTGGCACCACAGTTCTGGGGCCCCATGGTCTTCATTTTCTACCTTGAGTGGCTGCCAGGCCCAGGGGCCCGAGTGCATGTGCAATAACCAAGCATCCTTGAAGAGCTAGAAGAGAAGGACCAACACCAGGACTCAGGTGAGGTACACTACACAACACATACACATAGTGGGAATCCCAAAGCTGTGCTGTCTGGTCTAGAGAATGTGCAGGCTCTTGAGAAAGAATAGCAACATTTGTGGTCACTCATTCACTCATACCCTCGTTCACTCACACACTACCACTGGCCCAGAACATGCGATTGTGCTTATAACCCATGAATCAATTGTAAGTGGTTTTGAATTTTGCCTGTGGTTGTGTGTGTTGAGTGTGTTGGTGGGGGAGAGGGTAGATAATACATATCCGCAACTTTCTGAATCTGCATTCTTAAATAAATTCCATGTAAACTCTGGCAGTTAGCAGCCTGTTTTTCTGTCCCACTCTTCCTTGAAAAAAACGATAGCAGCAAACCTTACAGCCTAAAGAGGAAGCGGGAGCAGGAAGAATATAGATATAGATATGAATATTTAAGAGACAAATGTCTCTGATTTAAAGCACCTCTCACCCCACAGGAAAAAAAAAAAAAGAAAGAAAAGAAAAGAAAAAGAGCCGAGTTTGGCCAGAAAATACCATGGCTATATACCCAAAGTGAAAAAGGTACTCTCTCAATAAAAAGGACGTCATGCTCACAAGGTGAGACGGGGAGCAAGTTTTGAACCCTTAGCAGCATGTGCCTTGTAATGCCACACCAGCAATACTCACAGCATTGGGACCGCCACACCCTCCAAGGATTAAGATAGTTGCATCATCTATGACAATCTGGGGAGAGGAAGACATTTAAAATAAACCTACAAAGACACAGGCATCTGATCTCCTATGCGTCAGTGGTATATGAAAACAGCCTACCCAGAACCCAAATTAGAGTATTCCAGTCACCATAAACTCTCCATTCTCCCAAAACCATGTCAATTCCGATCCTTGTGAACAAATTACTGATGATTCACCTGAATGGATATATTCCTTGTTGATCAAACATTAACGTGAGCGTACATAAAGTGCAGGGTTCTCTTGAGAAATGAAACAGCAAAGTAAATGTTTTGGGGAGAGGCATAATATAAAGGCACTAAAAATAAATACAACCCATTAGAAGTTGAAAAATAAGTACCAGCAAAAAAGAACGACAAAGTCTCTTTGGCTTATGCATGTTGGCAGCTTACCTGACTCCCTCCTCCCTTTCCCATCCTAACTGGAAGATGCTACAGTGTTTGCTGAATAGTTATTTTAATTCCTGAGCACCTGAGATTGGCCACCTCGAGGATGAGGACTGGGGCCGGAGATGTTCGGCTTGGACCACGCCCACTGCTCGAGGTCAAGGACCCAGACATCGTTGCTCCTATAAGATAAGGAAATAAGGTTGAAGGAGTTGGGAGCTCCCAGGGACCACAGAGATGATATAAATGAGGTTACATTTATATTTATTTTTTAAGTTATTATTTTTAAGTAGGCTCCATGCCCAACATGGGGATTGAACTCATGACCCTGAGATCAAGAGTTGCACGCTCTACCGACTAAGCCAGCCAGGTGCCCCTGGAAGTTACATTTATTTTTATTTATTTTTATTTTTTTAAAGATTTTATTTATTTATTTGACAGAGAGAGACACAGCGAGAGAGGGAACAGAAGCAGGGGGAGTGAGAGAGAGAGAGAAGCAGGCTTCCCGCGGAGCAGGGAGCCCAATGCGGGGCTCGATCCCAGGACCCTGGGATCATGACCTGAGCCGAAGGCAGACGCTTAACGACTGAGCCACCCAGGTGCCCCTGGAAGTTACATTTATAAAGATGCCCAGCAAAGTGCCATGGTCATAGCATCTTTTTTTTTTTTTTACCATTATAAAAGTTTATTTAACAAAAAAGTTCAATATGAAAATGCACACGACCTGATTTTTATATTGTAGTAAAACAGGTATTATGGAGGGGACATGTGGAAGCAGCTGATTTCTTCTGATGAACACACCCATTGTTTACACTCGCTCCAAGGCTTCTAACATGATGACACTATGTCCTCGTATTACCACCATTCCAATATTGTTCTGTTGCCCACTAGTTGCCATCTCCACACATTCATCTATCACAAGATTCATAAACAGATCGAACCTCCACAATATTCCTTGGACATGTCTGCCACCATTTAATTTCAATGACAATTTCTTGTCCATAAATGTTTTCAACTCGGGAGGTGAGCTTTGCTCATGGGGTCTACTCGGCGAGCTGAAAGATGCCTCCAAACGGAATTCGTGGCGTCCCTCACGCTCTGGTCATAGCATCTTAAACTATATTTTTCTTCCCCTCCTCTCCCTGGAACCCATCTCAAGACCTTCAAACCTTTGCTCTTCCCACTGACCCATAAAGCCTCTTTTCAGGCATGTCTGCAGCCACATACTAGTACCTGAAGTAAGAGTGAACCAGTGATAGCAGGAAATAGCTACTGGTCAAGATATAGCCATTCAAAAGCAAAAACCACAAGGAAGAGAAAAAACTGATGTAAAAGGTAGCTCTATCACTGTCCAGGAGATAAAGATTTATCGATTCTGGCTACAAAAAGTAATTTCACCATGGCTAATGAGATCTGCAGTTTTATTAAGGACAAACTGGCATCTCCAACCCCCAAGGGACCAGTATGGCAAGGACAGACTACTGGAAGGCAGTCACCTCGCTAAGGTCATTTACTCATACAGAGGATCACAGGAATAAGAACTCTAATACTATAAAGTTTACCCTAAACTTTCTCATCCGGGGGGCAGCTCAGTCTCTCCACAACTGTTTTGAAATGGGAAGATGGGGAATACCTTGTCTAACAGAGAAGACAGTTGGGTCTGGAATGCTTCTACTGTTGACAGCTCATCAACTTCCCTCTCATGACCATTAATGCAGCTACCATCAACTCAGATAAAGAGTGATTCCGATGGATTGCTCTGACCCTTGACTCTGGCCTGAGCTGGCCAGTTGTGGCCAGAGATGGTAAGGACAGTAGGTAGGGAGCACAGCCTCACAGAAGTGCATCGGACCTGACAGTTTTCTCCCTCCTACCCACTCCCCCAACCCATCTAATTTGGAGAATGAATCATTTACAACCTGTCCTGTCAATCTACCTCTCTTCTACAAAGCCCAAGAGGGCACAGGCTGGGACACAAAGGAGAGAGCAAGTAAAAGCACTCTGTGCTTCTTAGAAGATGGCCTTCTGTAGGCACAGGTAGAAACAAACAAGGTGGAGGCTATGTAAGAATTTGATCCCACCGAATGAACCACATACCAAATAAAAAGATTCTACACAGCTCTGATTTTATAGAGGAAGTTTTCCAACCTATTGCTCTGTGATTAGGGGATCAAAAACTAGAATGCTAGGAAGCAAGAACTGGTTGGATCAATTAGAACCATGCTGAGGAATACTGACCTGACTAGTTCACTCTTCTGACCCGTTATTCCCAGGAGTATTTGCCTTCAGGTTGATAGGCAGCAAAACCAAGTATACTTACATTTGCCGGGATCCTAAGGAGCCACCGAAGACAATCATTTTATCATCTATCACACAGGAGGAATGGCCAGCCATTGGAGGTGGCCCATGGGTTGTCACAATGCAGTTCCACCTAATACAAAAAGAGAGGAGGGAGCCAGCAAGTCAGCACCACCTGTATCTGGTCTTATGTGTTTAAGGTGGAAACAGTAAGTAGGTATCCTTTAAAATGACAATCCTATCACCTTCAGTGGAGATACTGTTAGGATAATAAATGGAAGATGGCAGAAGGTATTATGCCTTTCCTACAAACCTGCTAAAGCTATGCTCACTTTCAAGTTCTCAGTGTGTATCGCTTAGAGGTGGAGTATAGAGATGACCAGAGACGCCACCATGGCTCCTTGGCTGCTTCAGCCTGATGTGCTAAAGAAGCACCACCTTCCACTTCTTTCTACAGTCCTGATCAGCCGCAGCTGCCAAGAGCCCTGTACTAAGTAGTCCATTACAAGGAAAAAGGAAAAAGAGTGTCAGGAATCAGTCTTCGAGACATAGCAGAGAACAATGAATCATCTGGATCCACAGCATGCCTGAGGAATGAGCAGCCAAAACTGAAGAGCCCCTATTCTCCAAATGGCACATTTATTTTTCTAGGAAGAGGAATAAATCTCTTCCACTTTTTCTCTTTGGAACAGAGGTTCTTAGCTTTATTTTTTTTTTTTTAATTCTTTTTTTCTTCTTCTTTTTTTACCTTTTAAAAAAACTTTTTTAAAGGTAAGCTCTACACCCAACATGGGGCTTGAACTCACAACCTGGAGATCAAGAGTCACATGCTCCCCCGACTGAGCCAGCCGGGCACCCCTTAGCTTTAGGTTTTAAGGGGGTCCTGTAAACTCTTTGAAACTGTCAGCAAATCTGTGCACATGTAAATTTGTTTCCTGGAAAAGAGTCCAGAGCTTTTACCAAATTCTCAGAGATTCCTGGACACAAAAAAGGTAAGTCATTTTATTAGATTTCAAGGATTGAAAAGATCTTATCTTTGTGGCTTACCAGTTTTTAGAAGGTGAGTAAGTGTGTATTTCATCAAAGAATCTCTCTGGTTGGTGCAGGGGATACGGGCTTGGCCGCGTCCAGCCACCAAACAGCACCAGCAGGTCCTTGTACACGACCAGAGTTGCTCCAGCTTTAGGGGAAGGATAGGACCCTAGGAAAGGTCAATAACATCATGGTTAGGATTCAGGGTCTCACAAGCCATAGTTAGGTTGTCTACAGATCACCTTTCCCTGAAAGAATCACAAAAGGGGAACCAATACTATAAAACATAAGGGAAAGGGGGAGAACAAAACTGGTTTGAGGTCTGACAGAAAACCATCACCAATTTATACAACTTTTTTTTAATATAATTGATACACAATGTTATATTAGTTTCAGGTGTACAACATAGTGAATCCACAAGTTTATACATTATGCTAAGTTCACCACAAGTGTAGCTACCGTCTGTTGCCATACATCACTATTATCATATCACTGCCTCATACATCATTTATAATTAAAAGAGAGAAACCTGAGTTAGAGGAAAGTTACTTATTTTGCTTACCTGAAATTAGGGATGAGAGTACCTATCTCATAAGGCTGTTTTGAGTAATACATCTGAGGGGCACCTGGGTGGCTCAGTTGGTTAAGAGCCTGCCTTTGGCAGGGTCCTGGGAATCAAGCCTCACGTTGGGTTCCCTGCTCAGTGGGGAACCTGCTTCATCCTCTTCTCCCCTGCTCGTGCTCGCTCTCACTACGTCTCTCTCTCTCAAATAAATAAATAATCTTAGGGGTGCCTGGGTGGCTCAGTCGTTATGCGTCGCCTTCGGCTCGGGTCGTGATCCCAGGGTCCTGGGATCGAGCCCCGCATCGGGCTCCCTGCTCAGCGGGAAGCCTGCTTCTCCCTCTCCCACTCCCCCTGCTTGTGCTCCCTCTCTCGCTGTGTCTCTGTCAAATAAATAAAATCTTTAAAAAATAAATAAATAATCTTAAAAAATAAAAAATACACCTGAAGCACATACACAGTGCCTGGCACATAGCAGGTGTTCAATAAATGTTGACTCTCTTGCCCATCCCTTTAATCAGCTTACTGGAACCCACACAGGAAAAGAATGTAAGGAAATCTAGCGAGTACAAATACAGGCTAGTACCTGGGTGCAGCGTAAAAACAGCCGCTGTCAGCGAACCTGGGTAAAACAGGTGGCAGCCTGGAGTTCTCCTTTGTGCTGAGTCACATGTTAGCGGGGTGACCTCTAAGCCTCTAGCTGTGGGCCTCACTAGTACAAATGGGGGCAGAATTTCAGGCTCAATATGAAGGCATTCCAACGGAGCTGCAGGCCTGATACCAGCAGTGTCTATTAAGGCCCTCCAGGCTGGACTTCTGAGCTATGTTGACCAAATCTTGAAACAACAGAAATCTGGCTTATGCTAGAAAACCTTAGGGATAACAAATGTCACATAGAAGCAGGATTTCTCAGAGCCTTTTCTGTCTTTTAAATAACAACTGCTATTTCTCCCAATCTCTTACTCTACATGCCACATTCAGTTTGCTAAAGATAAAGAAACTTGTCTCAATACCCAGGTGTCAGTAAATACTGTAATATTCAAGAAAAAAAAATTTTGTTACCACTGCAGGATCCATTAAAAAAAAAAAAAAATCTTAAGCAGAAAGAATCCCAACAGTATATTAAGCTAATAGCAGCTGAGGTGTTCCCATTCAGGTAGAGAGCTGGGCCCCTCCCCTTCAGCAAGGGGTTTTGGGAACATGGTTTGAAAACCCCTCTTAGACTGCTTTAATGGTGTTGATAACAAAGTCTCAAGGCTGGAAAAGTGAGCAAGTGGCTGTCTTCCTTGGGCTCCAACTTAACAGGAACTTCCATGATCTACTGGGAAGGTACCAATCCTCAGACAGTGGAGTGAGCATCTAAGAGTACTATGTGGCATCAGCTATTTTGAGCACTTTCCTAACAGAACAGACATCAATCCAAACAGGATCTGACCACAGAAATGAGTTTTCTCTAGGAATGATTTTCCTGTCAATTAGCAGCACTGACTGAGGGAATACTGGCTGAGGTACTCCATGAGCTTGCTCCTGCTACCCTCATACCCTACTGGAATCATGACTCAGGGGGCTGTTGTCCTTCACAGTCTTGTGATCTCTACTTAAAACTTTTGCCTTCCCATGGGACACCTGGGTGGTTCAGTCGGTTAAGCATCTACCTTTGGCTCAGGTCACGATCCCAGGGTCCTGGAATTGAGTCCCACATCGGGCTCCTAGTTCAGCAGGAAGCCTGCTTCTCCCTCTACCTGCCGGTCCCCCTGCTTATGCTCTCTCTCTCTCCATAAAACAACAACAACAACAACAACAACAACAAACAAACAAAAAAACCCTTGCCTTCCCAGGAGGAAGCTTCCTAGAAAACTTAATATAGTGGTCTAGTTAAAATGCTAGTATTACCCCAAAATGACTTAATTTGTGAAATACCAAACAATGCTTCAAGTTCTTACCCTTACTTTGGAACTCCTAAATACTATGAAAAAGTTGGAAAAAAGCAAATAAAACACATAACAGATTCAGCAGAGTAGTTACTTAAAAACCTTCTAGACTGAAATTTGGTTTGGGATTTGAAATACTGGAAATCCTGGCTTTTAAAATCAAGTGTACAAAATGAAACAGCACCATTTGCAATGATGTGGATGGAGCTAGAGTGTATTATGCTGAGCAAAATCAGTCAGAGAAAGACAAATGCCATATTTTACTCATATGTGGAATTTTAGAAACAAAACGAACAGCCGGAGGGGTAGGAGAGGAATAAACCAAGAAACAGACTCTTAACTACAGAGAACAAACTGATGGTCACCAAGGGGAGGTGGGGGGGGGAATGGGTGAAATAAGTGATGGGGAGTAAGGAGGGCACTTGTGATAAGCACTGGGTGGTGTACGGAAGTACCGAATCACTACATTGTACACCTGAAACTAATATTACACTGTATGTTAACTAACTGGAATTTAAATAAAAACTTAAAAAAATAAAATGAAGCAACAGACCAAGGGTCCCCAAAACAGGAAAACATGGAATCAGAAGCGCCTTGCTGGCTCAGTTGGAGGAGCATGCGACTCTTGACCTCGGGATTGTTGAGTTCAAGCCCCATGTCGGGCCTAGCACTTACTTTAAAAAATAAACTGATTAAATTTTTAAAAAATCATGGAAATGATCAAACAGAATTCTTAATTGGCCATTTGTATCAAATCTATATCAAAAAATTTTAAGTGCAGGGCACCTGGGTGGCTGAGTTGGTTAAGTGTCCGGTTCTTGATTTTGGCCCAGGTCAAGATCTCAGGGTGGTTGAGTTCAGCCCCATGTCCAGCTCTGCACTGAGTGTGGTGCCTGCTTCAGATTCTCTCTCCTTCTCCCTCTGCCCGCCCTTCCCCCCACACTCACTCACTCACACACTCTCTCAAATAAATAAATCTCAAAAATAAATTTTAGGGTGCCTGGGTGGCTCAGTCGTTAAGCGTCTGCCTTCGGCTCGGGTCATGGTCCCAGGGTCCTAGGATCAAGCCCCGCATCGGGCTCCCTGCTCTGAGGGAAGCCTGCTACTCCCCCTGCTTGTGTTCCCTCTCTCGCTGTCTCTCTCTCTGTCAAATAAATAAATAAAATCTTACAAAAAAAATAAAATAGGGTGCCTGGGTGGCTCAGTTGGTTAAGGACTGCCTTCGGCTCAGGTTATGATCCTGGAGTCCCAGGATCGAGTCCCGCATCGGGCTCCCTGCTTGGCAGGGAGTCTGCTTCTCCCTCTGACCCTCCTCCCTCTCATGCTCTCTGTCTCTCATTCTCTCTCTCTCTCAAATAAATAAAATCTTTAAAATAAATAAAATAAAATAAAACTCATTCTCTTAGCCATTATATTAAACTGCTCTTCATACATATACATACATTCTTTCTGAGTAGTTGCCACAAGCAAGTCAGATAAACTTTAAA